CTCGCCTGTCTTACGTTTATCGTACCTTTTAATTTACCGAAGTAGGTCGCTAGAAAATTGGCCTCGTACATGTTGAAGAGACATGCGAAAACTAATTAAGAGAATGTCTCGAGGAATGAAACAGCGATTTACTGGTCTCACCTAGACGACAAACAATTCTTTCAATTTCGCAACAAAGTCACGAATCTAATGCGACGGTGGAATAATTTGCCGCGATGAATTGATTATCCCCGAAGGCCAACACACACACACACGAATTCCGCCGAGTGCGCGCGCGTGCGTGCTCGCATAATTCCAACTGGGAAGAGGGACTCTTCTACATTTCGTTCGCGAAGTGTTACGAGCTGACGCTTGACACTTATCGAGGTAAGAAAATAATCAGGTTTAACGGGAGTCACCGGGATGAATGCGTAAAGGCGGACCGCCGCTCCGTGCGATTGGGCCGATTTTATTTAGCATGCGAATTACTCCAATCATTCCGCAATCCGGCTAATTCGGGAGATAATTGCGCGAAACGACGACGCGGGATCGACGCGGCCACGCGCGACGCTTCGAATGCACGGCGAAGCATCTCGCGGTTTTCCCCGTTATTCCGCCTCACCTTACCAGTCGGCGCACACAGCTCGGCTATAAATATAACCATCTGTTTACTCGTTGCTGCTCGCAAACACTTTTTAATGTATCCTACTTGCGGCCCATGAAGGTCTAAAAGCTGACGCACGACGTCGCGATAATGCCGCGAGCTGCGGGAAAACGCGCTCCAGTTCGTCGGCGAGCATATCGCGGGAAAATGCTTCGTGGGAAAACGCTCGGCGAACTATTGTGCAACAGAGTGTCGCGCACCTGTTGTCGAAAAGTGACGCGAGCTTTGTCGTAAAAGCGCGAAACACGCGGCCGCAAAGAAAATAAGATCGACTCCTTATCGCCCCGGTTGTAAAGCGATCGTAACTCGGAGCAACTAATGGGAGACCGCTTGGAAGGTAATCTGCGTTCCCGTTAACACGAGAAGTCGTCCCGGCGTTTTATGAACGTTTGTTTGTTTGGAAATCACTTCGTTATCGGCATCGTTCTGATATTTATCGACTGAATAATGTTGTTACAATCATTTCGCCTTCATTACGTCGCACGGTGAGCTCGCGCGACCAGCGAGAGTTCTTGTTCAAAACACTGATCGCTTCTGTCGGCGTCAATTAGTCGCGAGAATCGTATGAGTTTAATATTTCGCGCGATCGAACACGAATCTTCACACGCGAGTAATCCACGGAGGAAGGTCGGAACGCTGAGGAAAAAGTCTCGTAACGGTTAACAAATGCATTTGGTTGAGCGTTTCACTGCGATGTTTGGTAATAGTGTCAAGTGTCGTGATATTTACCAACCGTTTGGTATATAATAATCACGTAATAATTAACAAAACAGATTCTTCACGAAGTTGATTCAATTAAATTATTCGATAACTAATACCAAATATATTTGTGATAATTATCAAAGTTTGTGATAATTACCAAGGCATTTGGAAACTATTACTAAATCATCTGATAATTCTTAATATTGTCCACACAGGCGTGGCAAGTGTTACTAAACGATATAATTTCATTTAACAAACAGTTTAGTGATATACACGATAAATTAGTAATAATTAGTAATAATATGTTCATTTGACAGCACAAACATTTTCCTGCTCCTCTGAATTATTTTTTTTCGTGTGAAGCGAAATTCATCTCGAAGGCGGAGAATACTCAGCGGCGTATTTCCGTCTTAATATTTGTAAGGCTAATGTAATAAACCGCCTGAATAATCTACGGCGGATAATAACTGTCATTCGGAAAAATTGATCGCGCGATTGAGGAGTAACGGCTTTAATTTGACGTTTGAATGCTTGACCCTGTATATGGACGTTGGTACAGTAAATAATTACCGACAGTTTGCGGGCTTCGCGTTTCCAGACAAGACTGCAGCACGAATTTCACCGATTAATCGTCTGGCACGAATCGTTAAACTGTTCAGATTCGATCAACGAGATCAAATCGACGACCGATCCAATTAAACGTTTCCTCTCATCGCTCTTGAATCGAACGTTCGTCGGGGATCGATTCGGCTGACGCGGCGAGATCGATAGTTAAAACGTTATTAAATAGCCCCGCGATAGTTTATTAAACATCAATATAACGTCAAGAGGAGGCGGGCATGGTCTCTCGAATCTTTTGGTGCGTCTCGTGTATGCAAACTTTCCATTCCGCAGCATCGGCTTTACAGATCGATATGCTACGACCGACGTTAGTCCACAAATTCCAATTTTCTCCAGTTTTTCTCTCTATTTGTTTTCGCTGGATACTTGATTTTGCTCGTTATCGTAATTAACTTGAAAATTTAAACTAGACTATCATGAATTATGCGCGTTGTTTTTCTTATTCACCTTCGCGCATTAAAAAAGAAATGTATTCATCCGAAGATTTTTCCTCTTACGAGCATAATACACAAGTTGCCCCAGTTCTCGTGACTTTAATTTTACTAAGAGGTTATCTGAGCAATCTGGAGTTGATTTTTCCTCAGCGGAAGTCGAGGAAAGTTATTATTTATAGCAACTTTCCAGTCTTCAACATAACATATCTTTGTGTATAGTTAAGTCTCAAATTAAAATTCTGTTCAAGTCTGTTTGCAATTACCCTAATAGAAATGTATGCAGTTTTCCTATACACCCATCCGATTATTATCTAGAATTAATGCATTCTCATTCATTGTAACAATACTGCGTAGAAAATTAACGAGAACTTGATAGAGTTTTATTCAGGAATGTTCCTAGGGCAAAATCGCCTATTTCATGAACGGCAAGTTTGCTTATTAATAAATTGAATAATTTTTCGTCTAATTATTATTATTGCTCTGTTTTTGTTCAGTAATTGGGTTTAGATTTTGCCAAATTTTATGCACGGTAACTATAGGAAAAGCGTTAAATCTCAGGACCAAAATTAGTCTTACTTCTCAGTTACTAGATAAAAATAAATAAACTGTCCAATAACTGCTCCAAAAATGCACGAAATTTCTAAATCAATATATTAATTAGAGTCAATCGGAAGAAATAATTTTATTGACCATTTGATCGCCCGCTTAGTCCTCGAAAAACTCCGCTTTTTCAATTGCTCGTATCTCAGAGATTATTGATGACCCGACATTTCCGTTCAGGAAAAATTAACTTTAAAATCGCTCATAGAACCTCTCAGGTAAAATTAATATCATGAGAACCGGAATTTATTCCGCTTTAAATTAAAGGACTACGCGTACGATAATTTCGCGGAATTTCATTGAATACTGATTTAACGTAGAACTCGATAGAATTTAACTCTACGATACGACGTTGCAGCTATTGTGCATTCATTCCTGTTACATAGTGATCGTTTCTTGTCATAACAGTCTAATCAAGCCTAATCTATCTTATACAATAATATCTATGCGAGAATTTCTTCATTCCACGCATGAATCTTACGCGACTGCATTCGAACTATGACCCGCGTTACATTGTAGACGCATGTATATTCTCCCGCAAGAAACGTAGCGGGGAATTAAAGGAGATCCGATCGTTCGTTTCAAACCGATCAATTAAGCGTTTCTCCTAATACGTTTGAATCGGCCGATCCGTCGACATCGCCTGTCGAACTCTAATTGATTTAGCTGCTCGACGCACACCCGTGTGTACGCTTGCGCTTCCACGTGCTGCCATGAACCAGATTCTGTAAACGGCGCGAGAACGGGAAATGGATTACTTATCGAAACACGTGTCGCTAGAATTTTTCTACAAGAAACAGTCAATATATAATTATTGCGAGGATTAATCATAGCTGTCTTCTGTGCATATCGCTTCGCAACGTCGATAAGCATCGCGCTAACTTGTCTATAATTCTTAGACGTTGCATATCCATTCAAATTAATATGAAACTTACATAGAGAAAATGGTTTCTTTGGATTTAGTAGAATTTTTCTAATCGAAATCTGTCTTTTGAAATATAACAATCAAACGAGTATTTTCAACAAGCAGGATCGTTTGATTTCTCAAGTAATAAGTATACTTGGGTCGGAAGAAATTTTTTGGCGCGCAACGCCTCTTGAATGATCTGGGATTGGCGATTTTCAGATTAGAGAAACATTCGACTTGTTGCGAAAGGAAAAAAAAAAAAATGAACGCGACCGTAGTTGCATCGCGAATTTTTCAGCCGGAGCTAACGAGAGATAAGAAGGCGTGTTATTCGCACGCCTCCACCTGGAAATAACGTTCCCGCTCCGGTTTCGATCGCGCGTGCCGGCTTCGAATTGGCGGACGGACAGGCGGTGGCTGGCTGGTCGATAATTAATTGGCCGCTCTTAAATTTGGAATACCCGGAAAAGAATGTTCGTGTGAGAGTGGAGCGGCAGGATCGGCGATTTATGGCCGCGCGCGAACTGGTCGCGATAATAAGCGAGTAACGGACGCGTCCGGCGGTTTTCTTAAAAGGTGCTCGCGCGCACAATTAGAGAACGTGCGTATATAGCGTGTCTCATAAATCTTAATAAAAGCCGCGGTAACGATTGCTTACTCACACGCGCACCGGCTCGGCTCGCGAGAAGCTAATGATTCACGTGAGCGGCCGCCAATGCGCGGATAATAATTTCCTCCGCCGGGGGTTACCCGCCAGCTTAACAACAGCGATTTCCATTTTCCCAGCACGTCGTCGTCGGGGCGATTCGTCCCGAGGTAACGTTATCGCCCGTTGATTTCCTCGTCCATCCACGGTGGAGGACTCCCGGCGACCGCAGTGTGCGTCGCGAATCTCGGGGCCGATTGCATTCAGCCGTACGCGCAAAGAGCCAAGGATCGCGTGTGGATTTTAGCCTGAAGCGCGCGCGCGCTCCGTAATATCTCGCCGCGAATATTACCTCGAATAAATTCTTGTTTATCGCCGCGCCGCTCCGACAGCTTATATCCCCGTACAAGTCGCGTCGGATTTGTCAATCAAGCATATAGCACTTACCGACACTCTCGTGCGAAGCACGCAATCGCCTCGGCGGCGCGCAGCTCTCATGGAGATTTTTCGCCGCGCACACGACACCGAATATTCCCGCGGCACCATTCGTCTACGATGCTCGATGATGACGACGCAACGATGTATCACCGATGGCGCGCCGAATCATTGCAAATTCATTGATTGCCAATTATTGAGTCTTCCTGTTTACCGTGTCGCATGAGTTCTGTTAATGCGTTCCGGTGTTGTCACTCGACTTAGCATTTCTCAAGAGTCATCAGATCGGTGATTTAACGCGCGACTGCACTCGCCGTGTTTTACATCCAGGTGCGTGTCGTTCGACGAAAATTTCACAGGTCTTTGCGGAACTCGAAATGTCCTTCTCTTACACCGTCCCGATCGCGACTCATCGTTGAAAAGCTAATTGGCACGGGGGGGNGGGAGGGGAGGGAACGGTGCGGAGGGGAAAACGCGCGCTACAATATGCGTGAAACGAAACGTCAGTTGTGGGCACAAACTAAACGGGAAGTACCGACGGAAAGAGCGGCTTGAAATTACCGAACACATTCGCACGTTCGTAATGCCGGCTTGATGATTGTCGGCGCGCACACGTCGATACGAGGAATCTTTGCAACGAAAGATTCCATAAATTACCGGGAGAGCACGGGTCGAATTTCGAGGAAAACTCGCGAACGTATGAATCAGTCGTTTGATTGCAGCAAGGAGAAGAGGGGGGGGGGGAAGGGAGATATCGCGTCTTAACAAATTTAATTTAAATCTCGCGCACTTTCGGCGCACACGTTTCCCATTTCGCGCGTACCTCCTCTTCTTCTTCTTTTTCCTTCTCCTAGATTACACTTATCGCACGGCCTATTATTATACTCACACTACGTGCATCGCTAAGCGATTGATTAACCGTGCAGTTAATTAAACTCCACACACGCGAATCGCTTCAATTAGCGAGCCGGCGCGCCGTTTCGAGACGCACGTTGACGTCTTCATCGCGGCACCAAAAATTCACATGTACTGCGCGGGACGTGTTATCATCAACAAAACAGTTTCTCTCCTCTCTCTCTCTGTCCCATACACATACATTCTCACTCTCACTCTCTCCTGTCTCTTCTTCGCACGCTCACTGTTTCCCGGCAGAACCCGACCGGCGGAACCGGCCGAAGCGCGCGGATTCGCCGAGCCGCGAACGTCGTGCCGCGAACGCACCCGATTCACACACGCGGAATCCTCCTCCTCCCCGCCGGCGCCGAATTTCGGCGCGTTTTCGAATCGCCGGCCGCGAACGAGAACTCGCGTGCGCCGTGACGATCGTTCGCCGGTCACCGTTCGATTTGCGGAAGGCGCGCGCGCGCGCTCGCTCGTTCGCTCGCAATTCGATAAGTCGAACACACGCGGCGATGCGGTGCCGTGCGACGGACTGGCGCGGACGGAAAACGGAACGCACAGCGACGGAGCGAACAAGCCTGCCGCCTGCCTGCCTGCCTGCCTCGTTCGGTGAACAGCCCGCGGCCCCCACGTTGTTTGTCTCGCGAGTGGCCTGTTTACATGTTGACTCTCTGTTTACGCGTTTCCCTCCCCCTCCCGAGCCTCGCCGGCTCGCGGCTCCCACCCCTCTCGCGGCCTGGCACTGACGACCCGCGCAGTTTCCCCTCTCCCTCGCGCGTTCTATCATTCTCCTTCTCTGTTGGTATCTCTGATGTTCTCCGTGCCTCTCTCCTTCTCTCTCTCTCTCTCTCTCCTTCTCACTGTTCGTCCATCCCGCTCTCTCCTCTTTCTTTCTCTTTGTCCGTCGCGACGCGAGTATTCGCGATGCCGAATAAAGCCCGGTTTACACTGCGGCACAGAGTGGAATTATCGGTCTGTCCGAAAAAGCGGCGGGGTGTAGCGCGGTCCACGCTGGAACTCGCCGACTAAATAATCTCTTCTGTGTGGGAAATGGATAAATTATAATGTTATATCGTGTCACACACAATATGTGCCACATTGTTCGGTGACGTTTGGAACCTTCGACGAGGATCTGATTCACTATTGCGACGATACCTCTGATTTCGATCGATCAGAGGGCGAAATTTTCGTTTAAATTCTCTTCATTTCTTAGATCCTTCTGAAGAGTAACGTTTATTTAAACCCCCCCCCCCCCCCCCAAGTTTCGGTGCAATATCTCGCTCGATTCTCATATTTGCGTCGCGCGAAATTCTAAAGAACATCTTAATCCTTCTCCTGGCAATGTATGTAACGATAATCTCAGATTTTTCTGCAAATATCAACATGCATGTCAATATCATCTACTTTGCAAAATTCAATTTGATAGCGCCGTAATAAACAATCTGTCAATTCTGACTGTTCAGCATTCGTTGTTTGTTTCACGAATATTGAGATATACGGAGAATGTCAGCTAGATGTGACCTACATAGACAAATATAGACAAAAGTCGTATAGTTAACTTGGCGAATGAAGAAACTACGTTCCGGCTTATCTCTTTTGTTCGTGACTCGCTTGATCGACATTTTCGAAAGATGATTTCAATTTTTCTCGGTATCGAACCGATCGAAACAATCGATTGGCGCGAGTGCTCAGAGAAAAAAATGTTAGAATTAAGTGAACATAATTATCTGCTTTTCGGCCTGATGAATCAAATAATGCCTCCGATTTTTATCAATTCAAATATATTTTAACAGCTTGTAATAAATGTTTGAACGCAATAACATCTTAAATGAATTATTGAATTACTAAGTGTAATGTTCTAAATTTGAAAAAGTATACCAGAATTATGTAATACTTCTTGTTTTTCATCGGAGAAATCTAGTCATCTTTAATTTTATTTTAATCTTAAGTTTTTCCCGTACAGTAAACATTTTCTAAAACTAAATTCCGAATATTCTCAATATTATGAATTTAACACATACAAGTAAATGTTTACTTGTACGAAGGAAATATCAAATTGCACACAGTCAGTATTTATACTTTTAATAAATATTTGCCGAGGAATATTAGAATGGCCGTCTTACTTGGAGGAAGTAAATATTATTCGAGCGGGTAGCGCTTCTTCTTCAATGTAAGAATCGAGATGCTCACACGGCGAGGCTATCCGCGGTAACATCGAGTACGCGGAACATAGTAACACACATAAGCGAAAACGATACCCGAGCTTGTGTATCGAAGGCAATAATGGCATTCCGAATTAATCGCTCGCGCGTTTTACGTTAACTCGCGTGTTCACGCTCATTCAGACATCACGTCAATTAAATAGTTGCTGCCGATAGTTATCGACTGTCCGCGCGCGTGTATTGCTTCTCGGCCCACGCATCGCAGTCGAAATAAATCGATATTCCCCGTGTTTTTGTCCGTTGACCTATTTGGGCACGTATCTTCCGTCGCGATACGGCGTACTCACCTAATGAATGATTTGACACTTGTTTATCGTCGGAAAGATAATCCGTATCAACTGACTGAGACGAATATCCGTCTCAGCCTTGGGAAACGCCCGCCACGTTCGACCGACCGAGAGGTTTGCGTGACGAAAATTTCCTCAGGATTCATTGAGCGCTCCTGCAAAACGGCGAAGCCGTCGTCTTAGAGCGGCGCGTGCCGACGCGTGCGCTTACATTATCAACTTAACAACGTGTTCCGCACATTGTTTACGTCTCTCTCTCTCTCCCTATGCCTAATGCGAGATATCCGCGATATTAATAGATTGCCGCGAACACGTTGACGAGATGCGTCCGACGCGCTCCCTGGCATATTTATCGAGGACGCAGCGCGCGAGTCGCTGGAAATTATGCGGCCCGTATTCATTAAACTAGAACGCGACCGCAGAATCGTTTAGCGCGCACCGTCAAATTGCCGATGTGCGCTAATTGTTTGTATTGTTCCCTCATGCCGTTTATGTAACGGTGTGCTCGCGATTCTCAGAGGCACGGTCAAGCTCTCGAGACGTTGCCGAAAAATCCTGACGCCAGCCGAGGAAAGATTCGGGGCTTGCGATGCTTGCAGATTCGCGATTCGCCGTCGATGCAGTCGTATCCGCATTTGCAATAAAACACAGGCTGGTAGCATTGTTCCTTGCGATTGAAAACCTGTAAGAAACACCTGCTCTGATTAGAGTTAGTTGACGAAAACTTTTCTTGTCTGTGTAATTTATGCCGACGAGTAAAAACTCCTCTTCTAAATCTTGCGTCCGCGGAAAGTACAGGTCGTGGAAAGACACGTGCGACTTGTCCTTTCCAGGACGATTATTTGAGGTACTCAGGATAATGACTCGCCGATTCCCATCGAGATGCGAAGCAGCTTAGTAAAATTAATGATCGACATCTCGGGGTCGTTAAAATGTCGCATATAAATAATCGTCATCAAACGGCGTGCAACTTTCCAGCCCGGAGCAATTAAATTTCCGGGACTTGTGCATCGCGTTGCACTTGCACTATTAATCTCCCTCCGACGCGCGCTTGACGCTGCGATAATTATGACGTGTTTATGCCCCGAAAAATACACCACTATATAAATTCAACTTTATTTCAACCGGATTATATTGTTTCCCCTTTCGTTTCGTTAATAATTTTTCTTGAAGTATAAACATAATTTCACATTATTTTGTTCCTCGCAATTTCGCAATTGATCTGTGCCGTGCACCGTAATTTTAGAAATAACGTATGATTCAAGCGCACATGGGCGCATTGTAACAAACAAATTTAAAAAACACACATTAAAATAATTTAATGACAAATAAACCAATTTTATATAATCGCAGGGGAAAGAGGGGAGGGGATGAGTGGGGGGGG